ACTGAGAAGGCGGGCTGGGCGGGACTGGGAGGGCGGGACGAGCGCTGGTGGTGCGGCACTGCTGGGTATCGTTCTCCGGGGCAGTGGCGTTCACCGGAGGGTGAGCTTTTAATTAATTCCTTTTGGGGTTTTGTGGGGTTTTTTGTTGTTGTTGGTTTGGTTTTTTATTTTATTTCCCCCGAGCTACAGAAGGATAAACTTTTCTGTGCATCAGATAAATCTTTTTCCCAGCTGCAGCCAGGTCTGGGTGCTGGGACATCCAGTGACAGGTGAAGCCCGAGTCATGTGTGGGTTTAGTGAAACGCCCGCACCGCCCAGTCCCAGCTTTGGAGCTGTGCAGCCGTTTCCAGAGGATTCATCTCGCTTTGGGGTTTTTTCATGGAGCTGTCGAGCTCACGGCGTGAGCTTCCAGAGAACACTAGTGAGGAAGCCCCCATCCACCGCTCTTTACAAAGAAAAGCAGAAATCTCCTATCTAGTGGCATCTTTTTTTTTCTGCTGTTAGAGACACCAGAATGTAAGCAGCGGAGTAGGTTCAGGCTGAGATGTTCTCATTGCTTGGTCCTTATGTGATACTATTGGGAGATGTTTATTGCAGGTAAATACATGCTTAGAATGGAGGGTGTTACTCTCAGAGTGCTGCTGTTGCATGCCTTCAGCGGCAACAGAGAAAGATTAAACTGCTTTAAGTTTAAGTTTATTAATTCCCCTTCACTGGGAATTAATAAACCTCCTAAGAACAGTTACCTTCGAGCTTTTGTACGGAAACAACAGACCTCTATTTGCCAGAAACTTGAAACAGGGTGATAAGGGGTTGCGACTTCATAGCTCTGCAAATGGGGAGCCAAGTGTCTGAAACAAGGTAAGTGGAGTAATACATACTGCTCGACCCGAGGTTACTCAAGCAAGCCTTTACACAGCCCGGGAGGAAAAAAGCTGGACTGCCCTGTGTGGTTTTGCCATCTGACATGTTTTCTTTCATGATGAGCTTCCCCGTGGGGAAAATGCATGCCAGGATTGCCCTGTCTGCAGACAGACAAGTCGTATGACTGCTCCTGACGGCGCTCCTCGCGTTGGGAAGGCATCATGAGAGGAAATCGTGGTTCGTACGAGGAGCTTTATAATTCTTTTCTTGGTTTTGACAGTGGCTCCCATCGCAGAAACTGGCTCAAAGACTTGCCATGAAGTGCCCTGGACCTCCAGAGAGCCTGAGACTTGCTGCCTTCCTGGAAAATGCTGTAGCCAGAGAGGCTAGGATTTGGAAAGCGCCAGTTTTCCAGAATCTCACCCTGAAGGTATCCTCCTGTGTCCTCTTTGGAAATGTCTCTGCAGAAATGCAGTGCTGGTCCTGCCGTCTAGCCCACCTGAGTGCAAAAGCCACCCCGCATGGACTAAGCCTAAGGAATGGAGGGGGAGGAGGGTCTGTATTTGTCCCATCTCACCTCTTATCCATGCCCTGGTAAACCGGGTGCTTTGCGTTTCGTTTTGACTCGAGTAGTTTGGGGGAAATGCGGTGGAGCAGGTAGGAGCAGACCATCGATGGTAAAGCCCTAAATACATCCCGTTAATAGTGCTGGACACCATCTTTGAGTCCCATCTGTTCGGGTGGGAGAAGAGGGAATCACTGGGGCTGCACAGAACCCAGCCCCGCTCCTGGCTGCTGTGGGTCTGG